GGTCTTTGCATTTTGATATTACTGAACTATATTGAAAACTTGAATAGTTGGTAGAATAGTAATGAAATACTATGTTATTATGAGTTTATGACATTTTTATAAAGGTATATACATATATTTTATTAATAATTGTTTAAAAATTAAAATTGCGTGTATCTTACGATACACGATACGATACATTATTTTTAAAAAACGATACGCCTTCCGTTACATGATTTGACAATTATGATCATATCGTCAACATATAGTAAAAGAATAATAGAGCCAAAGGAAGTAGACTATAAGAAGAGGCAGAATCATGGTCATTGGCACGAAAACCCAAGTCACAGATAACCAACCATGCCCTGGGAGTCTGTTTAAGACCATATAAGACACGATAAAGTTGACATACTTGACCAGAATTATAGGATAATCTAGGGGGAGGTGTCATAAAAACCTCTTCAGTTAAATCTCCATGTAGAAATGCATTTTTCATATTCATTTGAGACAAACTCTATTGTCGAATGACAGCAACTGCAATCACGGTACGAATAGTAGTCATCTTGGCAACAGGAGCAAAAGTCTCCACATAGTCTAAATCATATTCCTGAGCAAACCCCTTGGCTATTAATCGAGCTCTATATCGTTTCACAGAACCATCCGACTTAGTTTTTATCTTATAATCCCACTTACAGCCAATGGTGCGTTTATCAGGCGGTAAAGACACTAGCTCTCAAGCTCTGATCTTATGTAAGGTAGACAACTCCTCATTCATAGCTTGTTTCCAAAGTGAATCAAATAAAGCCTCCTTGTAGAAGGCAGGTTCAGATAGAGAATGGATAGAAGTAAGGAAAGAATAAAAGTCAGAAGAATAATAAGTATTATTCCAACCAAACTTGTCTGGACATTTGCGAGAGTGCTGAGGATAGCGTGAGGTATGATCCACAGTGTTTGAACCTGATTGGGCTGTCGGAGGAGAAAAGGGAGGTACTGTATCCGAAAAGGAGATAATTGGAGTCCTGCGAACATATGTATGCACAATAGGGGGACGCGTAATAGACTCAAAAGATTAAGGGTCTGACACAGGTAAATCACCAACATATGTGTCATGAGGAACATTAGTAGGAAAGGGATCAATATATAACAGGTTAGACTTACTCAATGTGGAAGAACTAGATGGAATTGAAAAGAAGAGAAAATGCTCCATAAAAACAACATGACGAGAAACATAAAGTTTGTGGGTGATGAGACCCTTTTTGACCCTCACCATAACCAAGAAATACACATAAAGTTGAACGTGCAGAAAGTTTGGTATGAAGAACATTAGGGAGCAAAACAAAACAGGTACAAACAAACACATGTAAAGAAAAATAATTAGGCGGCTCACCACATAACTTTTCAAATGGAGAAGACTTCAGAGGTGAGAATAGTAGGAATGGTGTTGATCAAATGTACTGCTGTCAAAACTGCTTGCCCCCAAAATTAGTTGGGAACATGTGCTGATAATAGAAGGGAACATGCTATCTCTAGAATATGACGGTGTTTTCGTTCGGCAACACCATTTTGCTCAGGTATGTCAGTGCAATATGATTGATAAAGTGTACCATTATATTTCAATAAATCATGAAAAGAAGTAAGAGTATATTCACCTCCCTGATTATATCGAAAACATTTAATGATTGAGGAATATTGAGTGCGTACCATTTTACAAAAGGTAGTGAAGATGAAAAAGAATTCAGATTGACATTTCATCAAGAATACCCAACAGTATCTCGTGTAATCATCAATAAATAAAACATAATATTTTGATCCTCCTTGTGTAGGAATAGGAGCTGGTCCCTATAGATCAAAGTGAACAAGATCAAATAGTACAAGAGAACAAGTAATACTTTTATTGAATGACAATGCACTAAATTTAACCAACTTGCATCCACTGCAATCAGAAATGTCATGACTTTCTAAACTACCCAAACTACCAGTTGAAGTTAAAAAATTTTAAACGAGAATAAGAAACATGACTAAGACGAGAATGCCATAAATAAAAACTAGATGACTCTGGACTCAAACGAAAAGAAGATAAATCAACAGTAAAAGCAGCAACATCAGCATCTGAGACATGAAGCTCCTCCAACACATATAATCCGTCCTTTCTACGGCCTGTCCCAATCAGCTTCTTGGACCGTGAATCCCGCATAACACAACTAGAGGAAGAAAAATGAACCAAAAATTCAGAATCAAATAGTTGATTGACTGAAAGTAAATTCAAAGTAAGTTGAGGAATATAATAGACATTTGAAAGTGTAAGGTTGGAAGAAATAATTATTCCAACACCAGCTAATGATATTTGAGAACCATTGACAGCAATTATAGATAAAGATGGAATAGAAACAATAGATGCAAATAAAGAAGAATCACTGATCATATGATGTATGACACTTGAGTCAAAGACCCAGGCAGTTCGAGATATACCTGAAAGACCCGAGTTGAAAGAACCTATAGTGGGAGAAATTGTGAGAGCACCAGACTGATGAAGATAGAGAAACTTCTATAGCTGATTTGCAAGCATAGTCAGGCTGGGAGCTGATGAGGCTAACTCATCAACTGGCGGTGCTACCACTGTTGTATGACGATCTCTGAACTTAAATGACTGATTTTGAGACTCTCGTGTATTCTTGCTCATCAACTTTGGACATTGGGCCTTCCAGTGATCCTTTTTACGACAAAAACTACACTCCTCAGAAGCAACTCGACCTCAATATTTGTTTTGAGAATTAGAGGTCACTTTGGAAGGAATAGCCAATATAGTCTGATTTGACAATGGAAGAAGACCTTTTCCAGAAAGGGTTTTAAGGCGAACCTCTTTAGCTAAGAGCTCATTAAAAATCGCATCCACTAAGGGGAGTGGGTGACGATGAAGAATGGAACCACTAAGTCCCTCGAAGTCATCTTTAAGGGCCATCAAGAATTGCACCAGCCTTTGTTCCTCTCTGAAGGTGCGATATGTCAAATTAGTGCTCAACTCAGTTGGTTTAGTAAATGCTACCTGATCTCAGAAGCCAATCATAATTGAGTAAAATTCCTGTATATTTTTGTCCCTTTGGTACGCATCTCGAATCGCATATTCTAATTGATACTTCTTTGCAAAATTAGATTGGACAAAAAGTGTGGCTAAATAATCCCAAATTTTCTTAGCTGTGCTAAACTTGGATAGATGAACCCCAATGGTCTGATCAACTAAGTTATTAATCCAGGTGATAATTTTCGTATTGTTGATATCCCAAGTACTCTTCGAAGCAGTATAATTTTTTACCTTTCAGTTGGAGTAGTGTTGTGAAAAGCTTGCCTAGGCGAGAAGCGAAGTGAAGCGAGCCTTGGTTGCCTTGAACATCCAAGACAAAGCGAGGTTATGTAAAGCGAGAAAAAGTGAGCTTAGGCGAAGAAGTGAGCCTGGCGAGAAAAGCGAACGCCTGATTGCAATTTTTTTTATTTTCTTCTCCCCTCCCACTCCCCCTCCTCCTTCTTTAACCTTAACCAAACCCTAACAGAGATGATGTTATATGTGTATATGTATAAAATAAATTAATTAATTCGTGTGACAGTATCATATAACAATATGTCTTATTATGATTAGATAATGTTGAATGTTTTGTTTTGATGTGAATGTTCTTGTTAATCAATTTGCTTGGTTAATCAAATTGATTAATCTATTTGCTATATGCTCTATTGATTTGACTAATTAATTTGTGAGTGCTATGTTTAACAGTGATATTAATCAATCATGGTAAAAATCGAACCCACATTTGTTAACTTTACATTTAGATGACATAATTATGTCAATTGATTATTTTTAGAATACAATAATGTTCAATATTTAATATCTTGTCTATTTAAAATATGTTAATATTTATTATTTTGATTACATTTAAATATTTTATATTTATAAAGTTAAAACTTGAATATTTAGGAGTAATCAAAATATGAAACTAAAATATTTGCTTATTTTTTATATTTTTCGCTTTGCTTCAATGAAGTGCTCACTTCGTTTCTCGCTTCTCGCCTAGGCCCTCAGGAGACCGGTTCACTTCAATTTGCTTTACGCCTTAAATAACTCTGAGTTGGAGCCTATGCAACACCACTAATATAATTCCACATGTCTTTCCCCACTAAATGTTTTCATTACATAAGCACAATAAACATAATTTCCACCTATTAATCTCACACTAATTGCCTGAAGTGAATCAGAATTTTCACTTGCCATAGGTTAATAAGGAACGGGCACTAATAATTTGCAAGAATACACTCAAATAAATTCCAGCAACAACCCAAAGTCAACAAGTCAAACCAACAAGCTAACAAAGCAAAACAACCAAAACCCAACCTAGCCAACAAAACCCAGCAAGCCAACAAAGCAAAACAACCAAAACCCAACTTAGTCGGCAACAAGTCAGCCGAAACCCAACCAAGCCAAAAGTATTCCAGTAATTAAACAATCCAAATAACAAATAGCCCAATAGTCCAAAATCAAATACTAACCAAACGAAGAAGCAATAGAACTGCAATGGCTACCAACGATAGAAATGAGGAGACAGAAGGAAGAGAAGAGAGTCAAGATTCACTAATCCAGCAATCGCAGAAGAAATCTAGCAATCGAAGAAGACCACAACCCAACAAATATTCACCAAGATTCAGTCCAAGATGCTTCGTAACATTCAATCGAGCAGTAGAGGTAGACATTGCAGATCAATATTCGCCTATATTTGAAGTATCGATCAGTTTACATCAACCCTCGTTCAACCTTCCACTTTGCTTATGATGAAGCCATTGTATTGTTAGCCATATTTGGATTTTACCTTGCTCTGATATCATGATAAAATTGATCAATGAGAATAGAGAAGAGAAAGAGAAAAATATATTAGACTAAAAGCTGGTCAGTAATACACTTCTTAAACCTAAAAATACACAAAATAAGTCTTATATAGTTGGGCAACACAACATAAAGAAAATGCCTAAACTACCCTTAGTATTAATACTCTAACAGGTATGAAGATTCTATTCTTTCTCTTTCTTCTGCTCTTTTCTTGGTACCATTTCTGGAAGTCGCCTTTAAAACTTTGCTTGAGCTTCCTGCTTAGTGAGAGGCATGAATTCCTTCTGTTGCTTCATTCATGTTTGCTTTCAGAGTACAATAATCTCCCGAGGGAGTTTTCTAAGAGACTTTGAGGTATTAAAAGACATCCTGGTGTTTGCTATCTTTCAGCACTGCGGGCTACTTGCGATTAGTTTGGAATTCTTAAAATGTGGCTCAGTATTTGAGCTTGCTTTTTATGCCTTAAATCTGAGTTTGGAGACCGATGAACAGAAGTGTGCCTTTGAGTTTGATTCACCTGATATTACGTTTATGTATTGACATAGAGTTGACAAAATTCAAAACTGCTGGTGTAGAAATTGCCAAAAGTGGAAATGGAAGTAAGTGACACAAGACAGGATACACAATCTCACAACTGTAAGGTCTGTTGAATCCATAAAACACAGTTCTTTCAATATTTTTTTCAGTTTTGCTTATGCTTTTGAAATTTGTTGTCTTTCTTCTTCGAAGAATCGATGCAGGCCTTTAGGCAGTGAGGCATTGCCAGAAGGAATTGTTGCCAAAACTTCGAACTTGGAGATGCGCCCTTTGTGGGGTCCTGTGGCAGAAAAGGTTGGTGTAACCACAGTTCAGATTCTCAATATTGTCAGAATGAAAGTATGCATCATATTAAAATCTTGTAATACCATTTCTTGTGATGTCCATTATGAATTGAAGTCTGTGTTTTATGTTATATTGTTTTAAATATTCTAGAGGACATCCATTCCTTTACTTTTCTGAGCTTTTGAAAGCATGACTCAATCGAAAACTATGTTCATGGTTCAGGTGGTAAAGTGAATGTGGCCGTGGGTTTTTTTTTTTTTTTTGGGGGGGCGGTTAGTCGTGGATATTATAGCCAGAAAAAAAAATGAGAAAGGTCTTTTTGATATTCTTAACTACCTTAGAGTATATTCAAACACTTCATTACCCAATTAAATAAGAGAATCTCCTATATCGGATGGGTATCCAACTCAGAGCATTGGTGAACCCGCTGGCCTCGTGTTTATGTCTATGAAGGGACTGGATTGAGATAGTGTCACTTCAAGCTGCAATGTTCATTACTTTTCTGTATCAGGATGCAAGATATAAATTACAAATGATTAAGGTTGTAACTTGTATTCTTTTTAATGAAAAAGGAAACGGTGAATGTTGTTTAGGCAGGTCGGATATACTACACCAATTACACTTTAAAATTCAACATGTCTATTGTGAAGCCAATCAAGTAGCAGATTTTTTGGTCCATCAAGGGGTCCAAAACCCGATTCCTCAAATTCATAGTGATCACCACCAGCTGCCAAGAGCTTGTAGGACTCTATGGATGCAAGACTACATGCAGTTTCCGCATTTAAGGAAGAACACTTGGTTCATTTTATTTCTTTCTTCCATGATGTAAAGGCATGCATTTTTATTCTTTATTGTTTCCAATGTTAAGTAGTTTTCATTGAGGGTAAGGCTCATTATGTCCCTCCTAGCTAGGTGTAATTTTCATTTAATTTTATAAAATTACACTCTCATACCGCCGAGGTTCAACCAAAAAAACAAAAATGTTGTTTAGGCAACTTTGTGTATTGACAGAGTTAGTGCTTTGAGACAACAATGAAGAAAAGAAGCTAAAATGAGCGTGATGTTTAGGAACTTGATTAACATACAATAGTGATACTGATTTGGGAGTTTTCTTTAATTTCGAGGCAGACAGTTGCGTAAATGATAGCTGTGCTTGCGAACATTCACATTTCCCTTCCGGCAGTAAGAGAAATTATGATTTTATTCTGGTCCTTTAGTAAAATTTTTCATGCCATTGCTACTGCAGATACTGAGAGTATTCCAATTTGTCCAAATTTTCAAAGTGATCTAGTCAACAAGTTTGCTTTATTCCATTTCTTGATCAGATTGTTGTGTTTTATTCACTATTCCGCATTTTTTTTTCCAGAGCAATTCAAAGCGTTCAATGAATCTGTTGGCCATTGCAGTTGGAATAAAGCAAAAAGAAATAGTAAAGCAAATTGTTAGTAAGGTAACAATGTCTTTTGACTTCCTACTTGTGGTCTGGTCATTTTATGCTTAATATCTACTAATCAAGATCATAAATATATTATTTGCTTAGATTAATGTCTACAATTTTGTTGCAGTTTCTGGAAAATGACTTTGTTGTGATGCTTTTTCATTATGATGGAGTTGTGGATAAATGGAGCGATTTCGGGTGGAGTGAACGCGTCGTCATACATGTTTCTGCCATAAATCAAACAAAATGGTACTTTCTGATTCATTAAGAGTTGTTCCTCAGTGACTACAGTTACCATACAGGATTTGTAAAATTTGTGATATCTGCATGTGAAAATTCATTTATATGGCATAGGTGGTTCGCCAAGCGGTTTTTGCATCCAGACATAGTTGCCAATTATGATTACATTTTTTTGTGGGATGAGGACCTTGGAGTTGAAAATTTTCACCCAAGAAGGTAAGCATGATTTGCAGTTGCTGTTTTTCAGAAACTCAGAAATGGTCAATTGGTAACTTTAACCTTAGTTAAGCCTGGAATATTTTGGTGTTTCAGTGAAAGAGTATGATGAGTTGTTAGCATATATCTATGGAGTTTGACCATGCTTATATTTGAAAATTGAGGAAATGAACTATTGATTTCACTGACTGGATTAATGGAAAGGTTAATGTGATGAACTATCTCATTTCGGTCCCCCCCCCCCTCTCTCTCTCTACCACATCCTTCTTTGTTGCTGTTTTTTCTGGCTTGGGGGTGAGATTAGCAGCAGGCGCAAAACACATGCAGTGGTAGCTTTTGTGGCATGTTACAGAATTTTTCCTAAATTTTTGGCACTATCTATGAGAACATAATGTTGGGGTGCAACTCGGGCGGGTTGGACAATCAATTCTAGCCCAACCCTAGATATATAATCTTCAACCCTAACCCTAAACCTACCTCGGGTTGGGGAACTCAATCCGAGCACTGCCTGAGTTTAATTTGGGCGGGTTCGGGTTGAATTCGGGTTGATGATTTCGGACTGATTTCGGGTTATTTTACGAGTTCAATCGGGCAGAGCTCAAAATAGGCTTGTTGTTCTTAACCTAATACATATATTACATAATATTCACCTAAATTAACAACCAATAATTTCAACCAAGTTTTTAACGAGAGAGGCTGAGAGAACGAGAGAGACTGAAAACAATAGAACAAAAATGAAAAATCAGTGCTAAGCTTTATATATATATATAATTTTTTTTTTTAATTTGTCGGGTTCGGGTTGAACTCGGGTTCACGAGGCCTTAACCCGAGCCCAACCCAAATTGAATTCGGCTTAGGATTTTTTGACCCAAGCCCAATCCAAGTATTAAAAACCCTTACCCAAGCCTTAATTTTTTCGGGTTAAAATCGGGTTGCCCAACCCAAGTTGCACCCCTAAGAACATCTAAGATCTTACATTGCAATAATAATAACAAAATGTTATATCTCTAACAAATATACTGAGCATTTAGACTAAAATGTGGTTCCTCACAATGTCAAACTTTTGCTCCCCCTTTCCTGGGACTATGGACTATGGGACCATAAAGTTATTGGGTTCATAAAGTTGGTTTTAAATTTTCTTCTTTTCTTTACTGGGGCCGATCATTGGGGGTTTTTAAGTATTATATTTAATGGGGGTGGCGGTGCTGGAAAATCTTGCTTGAAGAATAGCACGAATCCAAAACCATCAATAGGTCCTTTCATAGTTTGAGAATCAGAATATCTGTGCAACAAGATCAAATACGGGAAGGACTTCTAGGTATTCAATATCCTCTACATCAAGAAGGCCAATAATTTGGCTAATTAGATTACAAATTCCACTAGGATTTACAGCTCTGATTTTAATACTTTGTTGTGGCAGAGATTGTAACAATTTCTGCTGCCATGGGAGACAAAAGGGAAGCATAGGGTAAAGAATGTATTGAAAATTGAGCAACACTAACGTTTTACCAAAGTTTATTACAGGTCAATACTATTCTCAAAATAACCAAACAGCAACTTGCACCAAACATGATTAAAATGTGGAAAATTCAAAAACATTCACTAGTAAATTTGAATATCACCAAAACAGTAAATTTTTTGTATGAAAGATTATAGAAACCTTGGGTATGAAAGAAATATACCCAGGTTGAGGAATATAATCTGATATTCTTGTGATCTTTAATTGTTAGTCTTTCTCGATGAATGCAGCTCCAAAACGCATGTAAACATTATAACTCGAGGTGCAATCAAGATTAATAGAAGTGCGAAAGCCAAAGTGGTATCTTATGTTGATATCAGTGCATCATAATTTATTACAAGATAGCTTTCCATTTATAATTAGACTGTTCTTCTGATATGTGCTTACAGTAATAAATGATGAATTTATGAGTTCTGCGAGATCCACAGAGTATACTCTATAGCAACTTAGCGACAAGCATCTTGTTATTAAAAGCCCAAAATTCTTCTGCCTAAATCATTTGTGTCCTACAATAAGGCACAACAAGCTCGGTCACAGAGTGCTTGTGTTGTTTGCCTGCACCAAAGCCTGCCAAAAAGAAAGCTGTAATGAAATTTTTCATTCCTATTGGCGAGTGTACTGAGATCTCAAGCTTTGAAAAAATAAAATCACCTCAATGTTAGCTAAATTGGGTTTGGCCACAGGTGATTATGTTGTATCTCTTCACCAAAGCCTGCCAAAACAAAGTGGTAGTGGAACTTCAGTCCTATTGGTGATCTTCCTGAGGTGTAAGCTTGAAAACAAAAAATCACTTGGAAGTTGGCTAATGACTATGTGTGATTAGCAAGAGGCAAGAATGGCTAAATTACTTTGAGTCTACCTGCACCAGCGGGTGATAACAGGGGACGAGCTCGAGGGTCAACTATGATTAAAATTGAAGCGGTCTAATATGGCTTCCTCATGGTGACCCTGTAGCTACAACATTTCCAAACATCTTTTCTAGTGGAGGTTATTTTGGATAGTGACCAAGTCAAGTGCATTTGATTCAGTTCTCTGTAATCACACTCATCAATAATTCCCATTCCCATATTGTATGATAATTTAACTATCCGGAGTTGTTCTCTCTCACTGTATGGATATCTCTTTTTCTGAGTCTTTTGCTCATTGGACTTCTTTGATTTCAGCTTAGGATGTGCATTGTTAGACGGAAAAATCTTCACAGGGAAAACTATCAACAAATCAATTGTCTCTTTGCACCTCTCAAATTACCACTAATTAATGATGCCTCTAATCATTGCAGACTTTGCCTTATGGTCAGCAGGAAAATTAACTACTCTGAGGGTCTACATCGTGTTCTAGACATGCCTTTTTTGTCTGCATCTACTGTCTTTGATGCCATAGTTTCTTGAAGTGGTACTTCTTTGTGATGACAACATCATCATCAATTGGTTTATGACATATTGCCTTTGCCACTCAAACATCTGGAAACTGCCATACGATGTCTTGTCTTGAAGGAAATGATGAAGTGTAAATATTTCTCTGCTGATGAATGAGACTTATTCCAAACATATAAATTTTTTCTTGCAGGTATCTATCTATTGTTAAAGCTGAAGGTCTTGAAATATCACAGCCGGCTCTTGATCCTGATAAATCAGAATTACATCATCAAATTACTGCACGTTGGAGGAAATCAAGAGTGCACAGGTTGACCAGTTTCCAATGAGTATATTTATGATCTGTTGCAAGCATAATTAGAGTCTGTGGACCGCAAGGCTTTACTGACAAGCTGCACTCAGTAGTCCAAAAACTTGATCAAAAGAGTGTCTGGATTATAAAAATATCTTTGCATGTATGGGGTGTGTTACATAAAAAACTTTGGAGACTAGAGGTCTAGGATCATCCAATTGAAATCAACTCTTGTAAGTAATCTCCGAGTTGAGTCATGTTCATGAGGACTAAGGAACTGTATATGCGTTAACTAATGCTTTATGGCCATGCATTTACAATAACTGACACTTTATCATGGACCCAAGTTTGTCCAATCATTAGTTTCACTTTGTTTCGTTCTTTTTCTGTACCTTTGCTTGAATGAAGACAACCGATCGGACCGACTTTCCCAAATGCCCACCATCGGCCCTTCTCCTTTCCGGGTCTGGATTTTTCGTGTCGTTTCAGTTGTCATGGTCGACGGGGAAGAAAGAAATGAATGAATGTTCTTTTGGGAAAATTAATAATAATACACCTACTGAGCCGAAAGCCAAAGGTGAGTCTCGTAGGTGGACGTATCGAACCGAAATAAGATCTCAAATTGACATCTTGATACACTGATTTACCATAATAATAAATAGAGTCAATGGTGACTCCGCCATGGGAAGAGCCGCTTCTTTCTTGCTTGGTGGGGGGGGGGGGGGGGGCTTCCATTCTCCAGCGCAGACTAAAAGTGCTCTCTGAATTGTGCTGGATAGTCACCCATCACATTGCTCTCAAACCCAACCTGTGGTGGATCCTGGGGGACAAAGTCAAAGCGCTTGATCCTTTGCCCCATACTTTGAGATGCTCCTCCCTGATGGTTTATCATGGACCCAAGTTTGTCCAATCACTAGTTGTAATAGATGCACATGTTCTAACCTAGGTCATATATGCTGTTTTTCTTCTTATCTTTTTTGAAATCTTAACCACTTGGATCTTAAACTGTTTTATCTCTGTCTTGATTAGGAGGTTCTATAAGTTAAAAGGAGGCGGAAGGTGTGATAACAACAGCACAGATCCTCCTTGCACAGGGTAAGGAATCTCAAGCCTGTAACACTCAGTTAGCTTGATCTGTTCCTTTCTGCCTGAAAGCTTCCTTATTGATGCTAATGAAAGAATTCTGTTATTACATGAAATAGAAATTGTATTCTCATACCATAAATAAAATTTGTTGCAGTTGGGTGGAAATGATGGCTCCTGTGTTCTCAAGAAAAGCCTGGCGTTGTGCATGGTATATGATCCAGGTATGAGGCCTTTCCTTGTTTGGAGTAACCTAGTGGTGTATGATGAGTGCGTAAGCAATTTTACTGGGTAAGTTCCGTCGTTCTTAATTTTAGTTGAAATGAAGTAGGGCCAGCCCTCCGTGCCATGGCTTTGCTGACTGTCAAAGCCAAGGATGGGGGTACAAGGGCTAGTATAGATTAATAGATATATAGATAGATGGACACAAAAAGAGTGGCTTTTTTTGGGTTTAATTTTTTATTTGATATATCTACTTACATTATTGTAGGTAAAATTTTTTTTTTTTTGGGAGGTGGGGGAGGGGGGGGGGGGGGGGAGATTTTAGTGCTTATGCTGTGGTTCCCCTATTTGTTCCAGTTTGTATGTGGTTTTCATACCTCATATTGTCAGACATCAGTACATTAATCCAAGGCTCCAAAAGAAAAAATATTTCAATATGGATCTTTATATGGGTCCAACTTGATCCCATTCATTTATGAATTGGTTGAAAAAGTACCAACTCAAACTTGTTCCACAAATTGCAGACACTGTGGAAGCAACTTCCTGAGCATATATGTTAAAAATTCCTATGAAATGTAAATAGGCAATGGAAACAACTTGTTGACCATCCAGTTATACTGAAATTCTAATGCTTCAAGGTGCTTTGAGGTGTGTTAGAATGTTATTGAAATGTTTCGGCATGTTTCTACCAATATTTTGTAATGTTTTGATGTGTTTCAAGACTTCCAGCATATTTCGACCAATATTTCAGAATGTTTTTGAAATAAATGCCTAATCTTTTTATCAGTTTCCGTTCTCTTTTCAAAACGTTTTCGCTTTTGAGGTGACTGAAATGAAATTTTGATCCTTGTCACAGCCACACCACATTATTTCATGTAAAAGAGTGGAATAATATAACTGTGGACCCACGAAAAAAGTTGTGCCAATGAGCCTTCTTGAAACTATAAAGAAAACATATGATGAGGTAGTTTGAGAAGGAGCATGATTCAGGGAAGGAAGAGAAACAAAGAATAGCTGAAGGATCACAAACTCCTCACACGAATTAAATCATGAAACACAATTTTCTACAGGGAATATTCAATTCAAATTCATACAATTAAAATATTGGGGATTTACACGATTATTTCTGGACTAAAACTCTTCAAAAATAAAAACTACTTGCCTACGAAAACTGTATCAAACTCATCCTCCACAATCCTAATATATATGATAATTACTTGCTGAATGATAAATAATAAAAACAGTAGATATATCCCAATAAATGTACATTTCCCTTTGGACCAAAAGCTCCTGGCAAAGATGATTATATCGGTCCAAGCACGCAATGGCTACTCCATCAGCGCCTATCCTTATTTTTTTCGATTGTTCATGCAGTTATGCTCGGATTCCAACCCTGGAGCCTGGCCATGCATTTGCTTGAGGGGGTGAATTGGAACTCTATTTTTTTTCTTTTCTTGTCTGTATTCTAAGACTTCTCTCTCTGAGAGGTTGAGCAAGGTATTGATAATTTTCCAATTTCTGCATGGCGGTTGTCTTTGTGTTGATTATTTTGAAGCTTGGAGTTGTGTCTGCAGATACGAAGAGAGTTTGAGAAGGAAAAGGGAGTGAAAATTTGGGAAAGTTAGGCTGTAGATAAACTGCCTATATATCAACCTATAAAAATAGAGAGAAAGTGATAAAGGTAGGTGATTTTTAAGGATAAAGACTTGGGGTACTTAATAGTGGTAGTTAGAGAGACAGAGGAGTACAAATTTAAACATGTGGAGTTGTAGATATATAAACATGGGAAGTTATTGATTGGATATTTCTTTTGAACTTGATTTTCATTTGATGAGGGATACCAACTCCCATCTTGGTTGATTAACTGTAACAGCCTGCTAGAAAGGGTGAGGATACCAAACCCACCCTCTCCCTTTATTAATAGTATAGATAATTTCTTTTCTAATAGTTTTTTCTGCTGACAGAATGACTTGATTCATGCATGGGGTCTGGATATGCAGCTTGGTTACTGTGCACAGGCAAGTTCCCAATTCACCAACACAGTATTTCTTTGTTTGAACCTCTTCCAGGGTATTGATATTTGGACTATCTTATTACAGGGTGATCGGATAAAAAATGTTGGCGTAGTTGATGCTGAGTATATAGTTCATATGGGGCTTCCTACACTCGGATTTTCAGATGGAAACAAGGCAAGTAATTTTTTTTAATCTGTGACACTGGTACATCACACTTGGCTGGACTGGGAGAACGGTTTCAAAACTCTCTGCCTTTTTAACATAGATGTGTTATCGTGCTTGTGCTGGTTATCAACATGAAAGTTGTTGGGGAATCTTTCTAGTCATATAATTTTTCCAGTTATGTAGAGTCTTTTTAAAAGTATTTGAAGACAATTGGAATATTACTTATATAGTAGTGGTATGATATACTTGGGCGCAATTATTGGATCTCATAATCCTAGAGAACTTGGAATTGTGGAATCTATAAGATCTTGATTTTCCTTCCACAAAGCCTGCGATTTGCAAGGTTTTTTTTTTAATTACAAGACATTGAATTTATTTTGCACCAGCAAAACTTAATGTTGAGAATGGATAGAGTTTGGTTTATCTTTGACTTAAATAATCTCATTGCCGTGTGGACTTTCAATATTTGGGTTGTCTCACTCGACTACTTCCTGTCATTTATGTAGTTGAGTCATGGATCACCTGAATATTCCTTGCAAACAAAGCACTTGTCAGATTCAGAACAACTGGTATGACAGTGACGCCAAATTTGCATCTTCCCTCTGCTTTTTCCTCATATTTAGTTCGTCTTAACTGAGAATTTCCCTTTGGAAGTGCAGGCAACTTCTGGGCTCTATAAAGTTGATAATAGATCTGCAGTAAGTTCCTTAATGATGGTCCTTCTAGTAGTGTTTCATATGCTTGGTGCAGTGCTTCACTTCTTTATCCTTTAGTTTGTGTTTTGTTGTTATTTATCGTGCACTTGGATTGAACATTAACCGATCTACTTTGTTGAGACTCAAATGCCTCGGAACATTACTGTCTTGACATTGTACATCAGTTTCCTCTATAATAGGTCAAGTGATTGCATGCATGAGAATTGGGATCCTGTCACTATGCTGGGCCCTTTCCTTCTTAGGAAGTACGCTGCATCTGTATTTAAATAGGGAGGATGCAATGCATACTCAGATCAAATCTAGCACCTATGAGACGTTTCCGTATCAGATACAGTACTCGTTACATATTCTAGGGTATGTACCAAATATGCATCACATGAATCTAATGTAAATAAATTATTTGGGTACGTTTGGGTACATATCCAAAATGAATATGCTTTTGAATAGGGAAGTGAATATGCGGAGCAATGTGTAGAATTTTTCAGTTTAATCTTTTGCCATTTTCTCACGAATTCACATATGATACAACCCATACAGAAAAATTCATGTAAGTTTGAAGATAGATGGGTGTTTCTTGAATGTCAAAAGAGGATAAAAGGATTTAATTACACATGACATTTCTTGGCAACAAGAACTTCTCAGCGAACCAACTGATTAAATGTTGGCCCGCATTCTTATTTAGTCACGTTGTCTAATGAGACAATCTATACTTTTTGAAAGTGAAAGCCTTTTTTTTTTTTTGTATTGTTATTAAAGAATCTACTAAAAAATTGCAATTCTGAAGTTGTTAAATAAGAGTTCAATTATGAAATATATTCTTTTATAGACATATCTTGGCCGTATTCGTATCCTATTTTTTCAAGTTTTGTTCGGATCCATGCTTCCTAGTCTGCGATATCAGTGCTTCCTATGCTTTGCGCGATTCTACTCTTTAAGCCAATGATTTTGCCTAGTCTAGTTCTTTTTTAGATATGATTGTGCAGCACTTGTTGTTCTACTATGTTTACCGTTGTGCCATTTAACAAGTAATGGTAATGATTTGTGTACAGGTGAGGAGACAGTCCTATATTGAAATGAAGATTTTCAAGAATAGATGGAGTAGAGCAGTTAAGGAAGACAAATGTTTTGTCGATCCATATCAACAACCTGCAGTACATTACAGGCGTTAGCATACCTATTTTCTAGAACCCTGTCAACTAAGCGAAAGTGCATGGTTGACGGTATCCTTTTTTATTCATACTCACCAACAGAAATCACAAACAAATTGCCCTACATTCAATTTTATGACCAATGTGAAAGAAATCATAGCAGTCTTGAAGAGCCTTGGGTACCAAATCAGTGAGTGATGCTGTACAGATGATGCTGCACCTGTTGTGCTCAAGCTAGGAATGGTCAATTCAGATATTTTTTTTTTTGGGTACGAGTTATGATCATATCATTGATTTCTTGGAATTACTGGAAGCTTTTTTTGCTCTACAAATAAGAAAATTTGCAACCCATTGGTAAAGCTGAAAACCCATAGTAAATCGATTACTTTTTTTTTTTTTTGGGTCAAATCGATTTTTTATTATCAGTTTATGTACTCTCTTGGTCAACAAAGTCATAAGCAGCATAAAAAGTGGTGCATTTGCCTTCTGGTTTTTGCTCCAACAATAGATTTTTTTTTTTTTTTTTTGCTAATGACAATTGGTATACCTCAATGGAAAATGTATTTAGAAAAGCAGGTGAGTATCCAAAGTGGAGGCCCTTTGTTATGGATGTGGCCGTGTACAATGACGTCATTACGAGGTTTTGTGAGCTTGGGATGATGGAGGAGCCGGGGCAGTTGTTTGTGGAGTAGTTCTGGGAAAGCTTTTTAAGTTCAAATCCTGTGTTAATAGTACTTGGTATGGAATGATGTGTGGATGAAAATTTATTAGTTTTACTCGTCTACTGCTGTGATCATAATTTCACTACCGGTAATAGGAATAGGTTTTTTGATGTACAACTAAGGCTTCCTCCAATAGGCTAGCCTTAATGGCAAAGTGATTCTGGATGTTACGGATTTGAGTTATAAAAATATCCTCTCTACTCGTAGGTGTAAGGTTGAGTACATCTAACTCTCGTTAGACCCTGCAATGGTGAGAGTTTCATACATTGAATACGTCTTTTAATTATGGCTTTCTCCGATAAATTTGTATGGTGATCACTCTTACTCAGTGAAGTAACAGACTGCCCATATTAATCGAGAGAAAGAATAAAATGAAAATTCAGTTACCCATTTGCTTTTTTTATCTCGAGGCTTTCAGCATTGTGGTTATGTTCACAATTTTGCCTGGGAGGGAAATGGTTGACACTCTGTACTTTTTTCTGCTCGGAGTTCTGTTGATGATGAAAATGCCGGTGCTTGAATGTTGAGAGAACTTGTATGGGGTATGATGGAAGAGAGATAAGCCCATGTGCAAGGAACTGTCTCTTTGTTTTTGTCAAAGTAGGGTTAATTGTAAGTTGTACCCCGAAAGATAATGGGTATCTTAATTTGTATCCCAAAGATTAAAAATCTCAATTTGTACTCTTAAAGATAGAAATTTGTATCAATGTGCACCCTCAAAGATAAAAATCTCAATTTGCACTCTCAAAAATAGAAATTTGTATCAATGTACACCTAAAACTAAATTGATAAATTATACCTAGATTTCTTCATGCTTGTCACTTAATCATTTGGACCTCTTGACATTTAGAATATTACTTCTACATCTCATGACGTTTGTGCACGTGTAACATGTAATTCCTTTTTATTGATATCTGTTAATATAACCGTTAAAAAATATAATTTTATCATAATAAAAAATTATAATTTTATATTACCCTTTATTTTGTGGGCTTGATATACTCTAAAATTCAAAATCAAGTTTATCACTGGACATTATAATTTTTTATTATGATAAAATTATATTTTTTAACGGTTATATTAACAGATGTCAATGAAAGAGGGTTACGTGTTACACGTGCACAAACGTTATGAGATGTAGGAGTAATATTTTAAATGTGAAGGGATCCAAATAATTAAGTGACAAGCATGAGGGAATCTAGGTATAATTTATCAATTTAGTTTTAGGTGCACATTGATACAAATTTCTATCTTTGAGGGGGCAAGTTGAGATTTTTATCTTTGGGGTGCATATTGATACAAATTTTTATCTTTAAGAGTGTAAATTGAGATTTTTAATCTTTGGGGGTACAAATTAAAATTCTAACTATTTTTTAAGGTGCAACTTGCAATTAACCCGTCAAAGTATAAAGAGATAGAAAGTGCGGTAACTCTAGAGATTTTGACTTTAGACATTATTGTCTTTATTGGGTTATCAAGTTTAACAGAATAGCAGCCATTGAAATTTAGATTCAGTTGCCCGGGTCGCGGTTCGAAAGCCCTCCTCCAACCCAACAACTCTTTTAAGAATCCCAACTTGCTAGTTTCATTAGAATGATCTCTGTTTCTAATTTTAAGTTCAGCATTAATACGAACTACATTTTAATCGTATTTCCTAGTCAATTTTAATTTTTTTTACCCTCTCCAAAAGTATCTTGCATTGTTAGCCTAAATCTTTGGTGATGGGCACTTACAGGCTAATACTATATACTAATTAGCCTTGCATTTATCATATGCACTTTGGCTAACTGGTAGGAGTAAGAAGTAAGAAGTCCCTCAACAAGGAAGTTCAGAACAGAACTGAAATAATAGGGACTCAAAAACAGGACAGTAAACACAGAAACCCACATTAACACCCAACTAAACAGCACATCTTCACAAGTAGACAACAAAAATTAAGCACAATCCTAAACTTTTATCAAATCACAACTGAGTTTTAATGTAACAATCAAAACAAAAATTTTTGTATGGACACAGAACCTATACATAATGATGAGTTCTAAAACCACTTTGCTATGAATCTTCATCATCGGATATATCCCAACAAAATTGGCGGAGCCGGCGGTGGCAAAACTACAACCAATGGACGAGGCCTCTTGATCCTAGCACTGATCCCGTACAAGAATCCTTCAAACATCTTCTCTGGTAGCCCATAGATACCCTTCATCTTGGAGAACGTAGCAGCAGTCAATAAACTATCCGAACCAGCCTGATGTGCTTCCCCAAATCGCTCCACATCTAACAGTTTGGCGAGCTTTTCCAATCCTAGTTCACCATCCAACAACCCGTGGCAATATTTCGCCAGAAACTTGACATCATACACACGACCAAAGACATGGCCAATGTGTTCAACATACCCCATAATCGAACTTGGCAATTCATCACGAATCACAATCTTCAACATGTAAGCTAGATCGTAGAGTCCGTGGAATGTGTCACCCACCGAACCCTATCTCTACCATACCTCACCAAGATCTCACAAAACTTGTCAGCAAACGTGTACACATCTACCCCATCTCGTTTGTTCTTTACCAGATCAATACCATTCCTTTTCAACAACACAATGGAAGAGGAAACATGATCATCCAAATCAGGATCAAAGTTGCAGAAGTTAATCTGCCAAACACCCCCTACAACCCCAAACCGATCAAACAATGTTATACCCAGCTGTATAATCTTCATCCTATCCACATTGTATTTCAGATCATCATACCGTTCAGATTCAGAAGCTGCTCGTGGGGTGTTATGCAAGAAACCCGGAAACTCGGTATCGACGGCGACGATTGGAAAAGTCTCCATCATAACCGCAATTTTAGTCATCGCATCCTCGAAGTTATTGCTCCATACAATCTCAATAGAACCCATTGTTTGCCGCTTCTGTACTATCCAAGTGGTTCAGCCGCTATATATATATTTGTATGAGGAAGAACAAGCTATTTATAGAGGAGTGGTATTAGGGTAGAAAGACAATGTTTAAGGCGATATGTATAATAAGTATGTTTATATAAGAGTTGCCATTGGGCGAGAGAGAGAGACAGAGAGTGAGACGGATTAGAATTGGGAGACTTTGAACCAAGTAACAATAGAATTCGGATTTGGAAACTTATGCACAGAGTTGGGTTTTGGAAACTTACAGATAGAGTTAGGATTTGATGGGCTTTTTTTTTTTTTTGGAGGGAAGTACTTCGAAAAGAGTAAATCACACTTATGTCCCTATAAATTATGCTCCCCATTTCATATTATCTCTTAAACTATCTACTTTTTCATATTACATTTTGAACTATTGGTCTGAATGTCATATTGGCCCCAACTATTTCTTTTGTTCAATTTTTTTGTCAAATCAGGAAAAGAATGGAGTCTCGTAATCCTATGAGATGTGATCTTCCTTTCTTTAGTTCTGCGAGCTAATATTTTTACTCTCATTTGTCATAAAAAATTAGATAAAAATCAATGATTGAGAGATTGTGAAACTAAACTTAATAATGCAAAGTGTGAAATGATAAAATGAGTTGTTGGGTGGGCAAAGTGAAATGAGGGATATTGGCATGTTTGATTTTAATTTGTTCTTAAGAAAATTGACATTATTTAGGTCACCTGAGTAATTCATCCATAAAAAACAACCACATCTAATGCAATACAATCTCTTATCACGACAATGGCAGGTGAATCAGTTCAATTTTTTTGATGTCGGTTCACTTAGTAGACCATTCCTTTCGAGATTTTCTTTTTAACTGTTTTAATGACATTTAAAGGCATTATCTGGACGGGGTCAATGGGTGATCATAAAGGCCCATGGCCTAGGTTGACGACCTCCATTGCACTTAGGAGGGGCGCTTCTGTATTTATTAGGACATGAGAAAAATTATTTTTCTTTCGATTGGGATAAATGCAAATTAATTGAACTTTGTTTATATATTTTATATTTTTTTTCTTTTCCTTTTCCTCATGGATCATTTTTCCATATTACTAATAATTAGAAGATATGAACATTGCTTGTTTTTTCATTATGTCTAACCAATGGCTATTGTTGGATTTCTTGTTTAGTCAAGAACTAATAGTGTTGATGATAACTATATATCAGATTTACATGGTCATTCATTGTTTACTAAGAGGATTTTTTTGTCAATTTTATTTTTTTTGCAAATATACCTGGTAAATCTTAATATATGAAACCTACATTGAAATATCTAGATATCAGAAACTCACGTTATTGTTATCACTAGATGTCTATGTTTCAAACAAGTTGAGGACTTGAAAATGACAAGAAATAAAGAATGATGTATTTTCTCCATCTATTATATTCAATGTTACATTAGTATTTTTTGTTATAGATGTGGTCCTTCATGGATAAATTATCAACATTTACTAAACAAGTAGATTTTGTAAAATTGGTTCCTGGTTTTTACAAAATATATTATACTCAAAATGATATACGTGCAACAACTAGTGTTTACATGTGTGTATTTTCTTTTTTATCAAAAATTTTAATCCTTTCATTTCCAAGATAAAAAATAACCACATATATATAATTTTTTAAAATAAGTTTATGTTGCATCAGTATAATTCCTCAGTCACAATAAACTTTTAAGTTGTATTAAGATTTTATGTGAAAATAGATATAGTATTGTATTTTTAAGTAAAACTTGAATTTTTAAAATTTTAATATGCTTGATAATATATATTATAAAGTAGTATATTAAATTAACTAATTCCTAATTACACTAATGTTCTAGTCGTATGGAGGGAGAGGGATTAAGGAGTTGTGGGAAGGGTGGGGGTGAGTTTCGGTTTTAATGGAGGGAAAGGGATTTGGGTTTTTCACTAGAATTGGCTTTTTCCTGGACTTGAGTTTTTTCTTTTGATTTTGTTTTTTACACAAAATATTAAGATAAGGGTAGTTGCGGATTTTTGATTAATTTAAGTCATTTTTAACATTGGTCAACTAACTGTAGGAGTTAATCGAAAATTATTTAAACATTAAAGGGACAAATTATTTAATTTTAAACCAGAGGGATTTGATTGAAATAAGACCCAAAGTTTAAGGGGACATTGTGTTATTAACCCTATAACATATTATTGGATTAATTTGGCAAGACCAACCCAACTATAGAGAATTTGCTAACCATTATCTTATCATCTGAATACCAAAAGAACAGAATACAATTGACGAATTGAATTATACCATTAAAGGTTCATCAAATTTGTCGCCTCCTAAACTTCAAATTCTTGATCATGCGTGTTTTTTGAAATTACACATTTATACTATTAATAAAAGTATCTTAACAAGAAAAAAATTTAAATCTCTATTTTATTCTTATAAAAAATTACAAAAATCACACTATCATTTTACAATTAAATATTTAAATTGTCATCATATCTTTATATATTTAAATCTCCAAATTATCTCTAAAATCCCTTTTAATTATTTATTCTCTATGTATAAATATTAGTTTCTATAAAAAATTTTGATTGACAATATTACCTTTTAAAAAATATGTATTATTATATTTTCAATATAGTGTTCAAAAAATCTTTAAAAACTCCATCAATCTAATATTACACATCTCAATGGCAAAGATAACATTATCTATATCTATATCTATACTACTTCTAAATGTACATATATTGGAAAAATATTTATTTCCCTCTTTTACCCACTAGTAACTCTTAAATATCCAAAATACTATGCACTTGAATAAGTATTTATTATAAAATACATTTATTTATTTGAGTGAATTTTAATGTCTCACCATCCATTAAATTATCTATATACAACCTCTCAGCTTATGCAATCCCTTGTCTTCCTTAGGGCACCTTTATAGTCACCAAGTTACGTTTGCAATTTGGTACTGTAATTACAATTTTTGTAATTGTAATGGCAGCAATTTCAACGCTTCTTCTTTTCTTCATGCTCTTTTTCCTTTTGATCATAGACAATAAACTCTGTAAGCAAAATCAATTTTTTTTAATGCGTTAATATTTGAGTCTACATAAATGCTTGTTGGATTGAAGAACTATTGGAGTCATGTAAGTACTAAAATTTTTCTTGTGATTCCCGTTTTCACTACTATTTTGCCATATTAGACATGCGTACACCTAGAAATTGTTTAAAACTTTGTAGATTACTTTTTATTTTTTTAAGATTACTGTTTTTACATTACTTCTTTCACATAGCTTAACAAATTAATTTTAGCCGACATGAAGGTGGTTCACTGACTTCCGTCAAACCCAACTTTTGTGTATAGCGGACGCTGTAAAGTTTCTGTTATGCTTTCCCATGGTATTCTGCTTGATCGTTTCCATTGTAATATCCTAACCTCCAGACATTATCTTTCAATGTATGTATGGTGTGTGTGAAGGGGAGTGTCACTCTCCTTTGGAATGATGTCAAAAGAAAGGACAACGGAATGTGTGTGTGTGTGTGTGAACAAAAATGCTCCCCAAATGCAGAGAGAATTTTGCTTGTCGTGTTTTACTTAGAATCGTATTCTAAGATCGTCTCATCAGGGAAGAAAGTGTATCATCATGGTGATTTTTTTTGTAAAAACAAAGTCAAAAATCTTTTGTTGGTTGAATGTTGGTTTGTGATTGTGATGAAATTGAATTGGAAAATAAGTGTTAGCTAATCTGAATGGTTCACTCCAATAGGAATATCAAGTCAACTCGGAACCTTCCTCCAATGGTGCATAGATGAACGATTAATTCGTGGGAAGCGAGGGACGAGATGGAAGTGAGAATTCAAGTATAACCCGTGACAAATCTACAGGATATCAAATACTCACACCATGTCCTCACTCAACCCAGTTAGACCGAACTATCGTACAACTAGGGGGAGAAAGAAGATGAGTTGAAATGACATACCCAAGAGGAGGTTTCCCTTGAATTAGCCAACTTAAAAACTTAGCTACTCATGTTTAAGGTAAAGAGAACAATATAATGAGAAGATATTATGAAGAAATGAAGATTGGTGCTAAGCATAAATGAAATGCACAAATATAACTTCTGGATAATTATACATATTCATCACCTCTTAATAAAGATTGGATGAGAAACTACTCATTTTTCATTACTTTGATAAAACTAGAAAAGTGAGTGATGCTCATCCCTACAAGTAGAGGAATTACAAGATAAAACATATTACACAAGGAGCCGATCTTCGACAAAGAATGAGTGAATTACGTTCTACCCTTCACGGCTTTGGTAAGCTCTAAAAAAGTGGAAGAGTTTCACTCCTCTAAGGGAAGAAGGAAGCTCAAACAAAGAAAATAAAAGAAAGAAATACTTAAAGTAAAAAAAATAATAAATTAAAAGAAAACAATAATACACTAAAAGAAAGCAACACTTAAAGAAACCAATAATACACTAAAAAAAATAATACTTAAATAAAACAATAAATTAAAAGAAAGTAATAATACACTAAAAGAAAGTAATAAAGAAAACAATAACACTTTTGGATGGTTTTTCACTACCAAAAGATGAATGTTTTACAATTCCTAAGGGGTGATATTTATAGGCAACAATGGAGGATGAAAGTCTTGTTTGACGACTTTGAATTATATTTTGATCCCCCTTTATTTTGAGTTTTGATAATTTGCACCCTATAGTTTAGTGTTTTGACAATTGACATCCAGTAGTGTATAGTTTTGCCACAATTGGCTCCCAGTAGTGTGTACCTTTGCCACAATTGTCTCCCCAATAGTGTGTAGCTTTGAGACACAAAACTCTGAAAAGAACAACAATTAATACACTATTCCTAATTCACACACTAACTCTGATTTAACTTATTTTAACTACTTTAACTTTGTTTAGCTAACACAATTTACCTATTAACTTAATTAAATTATGCATTAATTAGGATAAATCATATTCTCCATTCTTAGGTAATTTAATTAATTTTTTCTCATGGCAATTAATAATTGGGTGTTATTGTCATATTTGTACAGTCCTCATGTGCATATAGGCTCCCATACATTTTTTGCAATCTAGGCTTCTGTATTTATTAGGACATGGGAAAAATTATTTTTCTTTCGATTGGGATAAATGTAAATTAATTGAACTTTGTTTATATATTTTATATTTCTTTTTCTTTTCCTTGTCCTCATGGATCATTTTTCCATATTACTAATAATTAGAAGATATGAACATTGCTTGTTTTTTTCATTATGTCTAACCAATAACTATTGTTGGATTTCTTGTTTACTCAAGAACTAACAGTGTTGATGATAACTATATATCAGATTTACATGGTCATTCATTGTCTACTAAGAGGATTTTTTTGTCAATTTTATTTTTTTTGCAAATATACCTGGTAAATCTTAATATATGAAACTTACATTGAAACACCTAGATCTCAGAAACCCACGTCATTGTTATCACTAGATGTCTATGTTTCAAACAAGTTGAGGACTTGAAAATGACAAGAAATAAAGAATGATGTATTTTCTCCATCTATTATATTCAATGTTACATTAGTATTTTTTGTTATAGATGTGGTCCTTCATTGATAAATTATCAACATTTACTAAACAAGTAGATTTCGTAAAATTGGTTCTTGGTTTTTACAAAATATATTATACTCAAAAAGATACACGTGCAACAACTAGTGTTTACATGTGTGTATTTTTTTTTTATCAAAAATTTTAATCCTTTCATTTCCAAGATAAAAAAATAAGCATATATGTAATTTTTTAAAATCAGTTTATGTTGCATCAGTATAATTCCTCAGTTACAATAAACTTTCTAAGTTGTATTAAGATTTTATGTGAAAATAGATATAGTATTATATTTTTAAGTAAAATTTGAATTTTTTAAAATTTTAATATGCTTGATAATATATATTATAAAGTAGTATATTAAATTAACTAATTCCTAATTACGGTAATGTTCTAGTCGTATGTAGCCATCATAAATACTTTGGCTGCACATGCTGCTCAAGGAACAGATCCTCCCAACGGACACAGATCCACAACCACAAAGCCAATCAGCTGTAGCAAATGTTAGACCTATAGACCCAGTAGCCCAGAATTAACCCGTAGCCAATCTTTTTATTAAATTTCCACCTTCTTAAAATTCAAGAGAGAAAAAAATATTTATAGGCTTTAACAAGATAGAAAACACGCAACATCACAATAATGATCTTTGAAGGTGCAAAATATATTGGGAATAATAGAATAAGAAGACTCAACCACCAAAATTAACAAGCAGCTACAAAACTTGACCAAGTAATTCTTCCATAACCATTATTACCACTTACAGATAATTTCGATTTAATTTAGCATACTTTTTTACAATGAATACTCCTATTAATTATAGAACTTGATATATAAAAAATAATATTAAATGCACAATCGATACACTCACAAATAAATATAATACTTAAAACCCATTTAATACTAAACTTGTGCAACAATGAGTGACGTGCAAACATCGCAAACTAACAACTGAATGTTGGCAATGACAGCAATGATGTAGTTAAAAACCATGTAAACCATCGTAGGCATATTGCAATATCTGATCTTTGGATACTTTTACCCCCCCCCCCAAAAAAAAAAAAAATACTAGTCTTACCATCCATCGCAAGCAATGGTAATAAGCTTCACTATGTTATGAAAGAGGTTTCCTCACTACTTAGACAAACAGAAAACAAGAGTGGAATTGACATGTCCTAAACATGTTTACCCACCTTTTTAAAGCATTTTATAACTTTAAACATAAGACAGATATGATTAGTGCCAGTACAAGACTCCAATCTTCGCTAAATAATCCAAGGAGACAAATTCTGGTGGGCCTCGATGGTGAGGGAGCCTCTAGTCCTCCCTACTTTCATCCATAAACCATGCCTGCTTAATTTCCACAAAAATAATATTTAATGAGTTACATACAATCTCACAATTCTAGACACGCTGATACAGGGAGGGCAGGGAAAGAAAAGGGATCCTCACAAGAATTAGGTCAAGGAACACAAATATTCGTAGAGAATTCTTAAACTAATATTCAACTCAGATCAAAATAATGTAGAGTAGATCCTTATTTATAGAGCAAGGGCTCGTTTGGTTGCCGTATTATAAAAGAATGAATTTTATTAGGTAATACCGGCTAATTCTGTGTAGGCGGATAAAATATAAAATTAAATATGAGACAAAAATATTGCGCATTGTAATTCAGTGCTTGATATGACACTGGATTAAAAATGAGATAATAGAATAACAATTACATATTGACTAAAAAATATCAATCTTGCATAGTTATTAATGTTTTTGTTTATCTATTGAATAAAATAGTAAATTTATAACTTGATACATTGAATTGAACAATAATACCACATCCCTAAGTGGTACTATAATCAGTTTAATAGTACAGATACAGTGTATTATTTGGATAAGTAATGTATTATTTGGATAAGAATTTAAAATAAGACTATATATAATATATAGTATTTTTTGCAACCAAATGTTGTATAAGGTTGGATTAGAGAGTCTTAATTTATTATGACTCTGTAATCCACTCTTTAATACGACCTTACCAAGTGTCTTATAATAAATGAACTACTGTATTACTAAAACTCTATCAACTTATCTCTACTAATCTCAATTTGATAAATACTATTTAACTAAAAATTCAAATGACAAATAAAAATCCTAACAAATCTACCAAGTACATACTACATTTTCCTTTAGACCAAAAATTCTTAGCCTTTTGCCTAGGCATCCAAATTCGGTCACGTTGGTCCAACCATCCTGTTGCTACACCATCAATTCGCTCACTCTAAAAAAAACTCGACTCCGACAAGTAAGGAAGAGGGCCAAGCATACAATCTGACAAAATAGTTTGAGGAATTCATGATAAAGTCTTTTCTTGTCAACGGTTAGGCTTCTCAGTTGTAACCTTACTTCCAATAGATAGATAACGAATAACACCCAATATAGGACCGTCAATCAAATCATCAAAATCAACATCATTAGCATCAAGAGACTCCATAACTTGAATCTCGGAATCTGACTTGTTAGATTCTTTAGCCTCCTTGGGATTTCCTTTTCAATTGTCGCAACAACCTTTGTAGGGTATTGGAAAGACAAATGACCGAACCCTTGACAATTAAAGCATCTCGTCTTGGCATTATGATTAGTACCCCTTTGAAAATTAGAAGTAACACCAGGGACAAAAGCATTTTCTAGTAGTTTATCAAATGACTTACCTAGATTTATATCCCCAAAATTCTTGTCATTTTGAGTTGTAGACTTTTAGAATAGTTAGCATATTTAGACTTAGGAATAGCTTAGTCATTTGTTTTCTTTTATGTTGCACTATTATATAAAGAACTCTTGTATGTATTTTTCCATTATGATGCTCTAGCTAATTGTGCCTCAATAATATTCTCTTCTTCTTTCTCTTATGATCTCTATGATTGATCAAAGTTATCAAAAGCAAATGACTAAGCTACCCCTAAATCTAAATATGCTAACTACTCTAACACAGTCTCGAAGACCTCAAAGAAACCCTCTTTTTCAGATTATCTTCCATTTGATAGGCAATCTGAACTGCATCCGCCATAGCGTAAAGAAGATTTGTAGCTAACCCTAAACAAATCTCTGAATTGAACCATTGCATATACATTGTGATAATTACATCCTCAATCCACGGGAACTTGAATTGGGTGGCTAAGCTATAGAACTTTCTTGTATAATCCTGGACAAACATGCTTCCCCGATTCAACTGTGTGAACTGTAGATGAGCTCGTTATAGAATTTGTTACATCTCTCCTTCTATAAATAAGAAGACTTGTACATTGAGTCAATTAAGAAAAGAAATACTATTTCTAAACCTCTATCTAAAATCACATACTATGGATGTGGCTGGTTACAATAACATAATTACGAGGGCTGCGTACATCTAACCCTCCCCAAATCCTGCAACGGCGAGAGCCTCATGCACTGGATACACCATTTAACTATGGCTTTCTCCGATAATTTGTATGGCAAGCACTCTTACACAGTGAAGTAACAGACTGCCCATATTAATTGAGAGAAAGAATAAAATGAAAACTCAGTTACCCATTTGCTTTTATCTTGTGGCTTTCAGCATTGTTGTTATGTTCACAATTCTGTCTGGGAGGGAAATGGTAGATCCTGTTCTGATACATTGTTTAGTTGCTTGAAATTGTGGTCTGTACTTTTTCCTGCTTGGAGTTCTGTTGATGGTGGAAATGCAAGTGCTTGAATGTTGAGAGAGTTTGTATGGGGTAGAAGCAAACGAGAGCTAAGCCGATGTGCAAGGAACTGTCTCTTTGTTTCTGTCAAAATTCTTGGTTTATCAAGTTTAACAGAATAGCAGCCATTGAAATTTAGATTCAGTTGCTGCTAGTTTCTACTTTGAAGTTATGGCCAGTGAGATCCTTTTTTTTTTTTTACAAAATGAAGTATAATTGTCCAATTTTAGGAATACTCTGTTCATATTTTAAGTAATAAAACATGTCAGTTGTACTGGTCCTACAGTTTTGGTATTTGATACAAAAGATAATGGCCAAATGTTTATGAAAGCATTTCCACCAAATAAATATTTCTTTGCATCTTCTGTCTTTCCATAAGCAACTGTTGTAAACACAGACACCCACATTAACACCCAGCTAAACAGCACATCTTCACAAGTAGACAAAAAATTAAGCACAATCCAAAACTTTATCAATTCACAATTGAGTTTTTATGTAAAAATCAAAACAAAACTTTTTGTATGGACACAGAACCTATACATAATGATGAGTTCTGAAATCACTTTGCTATGAAACTTCATCATCGGATTTATCCCAACAAAATTGGCTGAGGCGGCTGTGGCAAAAATGCAATCATTGGACGAGGCCTCTTGATCCTAGCACTGATCCCATACAAGAATCCTTCAAACATCCTCTCTGGTAGCCCATAGACACCCTTCATCTTGGAGAACGTAGCAGCAGTCAATAAACTATCCGAACCAGCCTGATGTGCTTCCCCAAATCGCTCCACATTTAATAGTTTGGCGAGCTTTTCCAGCCCTAGTTCACCATCCAACAACCCGTGGCAATATTTTGCCATAAACTTGACATCATACACATGACCAAAGACATGGCCAATGTGTTCAACATACCCCATAATCGAACTTGGCAATTCATCACGAATCACAATCTTCAACATGTAAGCTAGATCGTAGAGTCCGTGGAATGTCACCCACCGAACCCTATCTCTACCATACCTCACCAAGATCTCACAAAACTTGTCAGCAAACGTGTACACATCTACCCCATCTCGTTTGTTCTTTACCAGATCAATTCCATTCCTTTCCAACAACTCAATGGAAGAGGAAACATGATCATCCAAATCAGGATCAAAGTTGCAGAAGTTAATCTGCCAAACACCCCCTACTACCCCAAACCGATCAAACAATGTTATACCCAGCCGTATAATCTTCATCCTATCCACATTGTATTTCAGATCATCATACCGTTCAGATTCAGAGGCTGCTCGTGGGGTGTTATGCAAGAAACCCGGAAACTCCGTATCGACGGCGACGATTGTTGGGAAAATAGGCTTTCCCACAAGTGTAAATCAATGGAAGCAATATAAATAAAATAACAGAAAATAAATAAGCACATAAGATTTACGTGATTCCCTCAAATAACTTGAGGTACATCCACGAAGACCGGTAGGTCAGTTTCTTCCACTATCACCAAATCAGATTACAAAGTGGCCAAAAAGGCATAAGCCTTACAAACACACCAAGGTGTAAATCACAAGAGGAAAATACCTCACAAAATAAGTGAACCAAATCTCCAAGAACAAACTGCAAGAAACTCAAATATCAAGTGAAGAAATGTTACCCACTTGAAGAACAAATTTGCAGATTTTCTGGCACCAAAAAGGAGAAGAAGAAGGCTGAATTTTTATTGAACCAAAGACTGCCGAAAATATGTCTTCTTGCCAAACCAACAGAGAAAAGATGAACCAAAGAAAAGGACAAAACTTATAGTCTTTGGTGGCTACCAAATTCCTTTTAACTTGAAGACTCCAAACCAAGCCTTGGATAAGAGTCATACACGGGTAAGCCACCAAAAAATTAGCAAATTGATGAGTCCCACAAAGGAGGGAAACCCAACAACGATCGGAAAACTCTCCATCATAACCGCAATTTTAGTCATGGCATCCTAGAAGTTATTGCTCCATACAATTTCAATAGAACCCATTGTTTGCCGCTTCTGCACTATTCAAGTGGTTCAGCCGCTATATATATATTTGTATGAGGAAGAACAAGCTATTTAAACCAATACTGAAGAGTGGTATTAGGGTAGAAAGACAATGTTGAAGACGATATATATAATAAGTATGTTTATATAAGAGTTGCCATTGGGAGAGAGAGAGTGTGTGAGACAGATGGATTAGAATTGGGAGACCTTGAGACCAAGTAACAATAGAATTCGGATTTGGAAACTTATACATAGAGTTCGGATTTGGAAACTTACAGATAGAGTTGGGATTTGGTGGGCCTCTGTTTTTTTGGAGGGAAGAACTTCGAATAGAGTAAATTATATTTAGGTACCCATTAATTATGCTCCTATTTCATATTATCTCTTAAACTAACTACTTTTTCATATTACATTTAGAACTATGGTTTGAATGTCATATTGCTCCCAACTATTTTGTTTTGTTCAATTTTTTTTTTGTCAAATCAGGATAAAAATGGAATTTCGTAATGCTAAGACATGTGATCTTCCTTTCTTCAGTTCTACGAGCTTATATTTTTACTCTCATTTGTCATAAAATATTAGATAAAAATCAATGATTGAGAGATTGTGAAACTAAACTTAATAATGCAAAGTGTGAAATGATAAAATGAGTTGTTGGCTGGGCAAAGTGAAATGAGTGATATAGTTCAGATGTTTAATTTTAATTTGTTTTTAAGAAAATTAGCACTATTTAGGTCACGTGGGTAATTCACCCATAAAAAACAACCACATCTAATGCAACACAATCTCTTATCAAGACAGAGGCAGGTGAACCGGTTCAATTTTTTTGATGTCGATTCACTTAGTAGATTATTTCTTTCTGGATTTTCTTTTTAATCGTTTTATTGACATTTGATAGCATTATAACATATGGTTAATTACAAAATGTCTTCTTGAACTTTAGGTCTTATTTCAATCAGGACCATCTTGTTTAAAATTAAACAATTTGCCCCTTTCAAGTTCAAAAATTAACAATTTAATTGATTAATTAGACAAAAAATTTAAAATTACTTTTGTACCCTTAACTTTTATTCATCTCCACTTGCTTTCATTTTTCTTTATCCAATTGAGCCAAAATCTCCAACGCCATCAGCTACAAACCACCGCAACCATGACTCAGCCAACAACCATAACCACCAATGCAACTACAATTAACTAGCCCACAAAACACCGTAGCCCCCACCCAACCACCTAGCCATAACCATTGCAACCGTAATCAACCAGCCCAAAAATCATTGTAGCCACCACCCAGTCACTCAACCATAAACCACCCTTTCCATCACCCAAGCAACCAGCCAACAACCACCGTAGCCACAAACCACTGCAGCCACCACTCAACCACCCAACCATAAACCACTGTAACCACCACTCAACCACCTAGCCACAAACCATTGGATCCACAATGAAGAGGGAGGGTTTCAGTAGGCGTGGGTTTAAGTTTCAATGGAGGGGGGATTAGGGACTTATTAGAAGGGTGGGGGAGGGGGAGAGGGAGGAGGAAGGGGTTGGGGTGGGTTTCGATTTCAATTGAGGGGGGAAGGATTTGGGTTTCAGTTCAGTGGAGGGAGAGGGATTAGGGAGTTGTGAGAAGGGTGGGGGTGAGTTTCAATTTTAATGGAGGGGAAAGGGATTTGGTTTTTTCACTAGAATTGCCTTTTTACTAGACTTGAGTTTTTTCTTTTGATTTTGATTTTTACACAAAATATTAAGATAGGGGTAGTTGTGGGTTTTTGAATAATTTAAGTCATTTTTAACATTGGTCAACTAATTGTAGAAGTTAATTAAAAATTATTCAAATATTAAAGGGACAAATTGTTTAATTTTAAACTAGAGGGATTTAATTGAAATAAGACACAAAGTTTAGGGAGACATTGTGTAATTAAACCTATAACATATTATTGGATTAATTTGGCAAGACCAACCCAACTATAGAGAATTTTCTCACCATTATCTTGTCATCTAAATGCCAAAACAACATAATACAATTGACAAATTGAATTATACCATTAAAGGTTCATCAAATTTGTCGCCTTCTAAACTTCAAATTCTTAATCGCGCGTGCTTTTTTACATTACACATTTATATTATTAATAAAAATATCTTAACATGAAAAAATTTTAAATTTGTATTTTATTCTTATAAAAAATTACAAAAACCACACTATTATTTTACAATTAAATATTTAAATTGTCATCATATCTTTACGTATTTAAATCTCCAAATTATCTCTAAAATTCATTTTAATTATCTATTTTCTATGTATAAATATCAATTTCTATTAAAAAATTTGATTGACTATATTACCTTTTAAAAAATATGCATTATTATATTTTCAATAAAGTGTTCAAAAAATCTTTAAAAACTCCATCAATCTAATATTATACATCCCAAATGCAAAGATAACATTATCTATATCTATACTACTTCTAAATGTACACATATTGAAAAAATATTTATTTCTCTCTTTTACCCTCTAATAACTCTTAAATATCCAAAATACCATGCACTTGAATAAGTATTTATTATAAAATACATTTATTTATTTGAGTGACTTTTAATGTCTCACCATCCATTAAATTATCTATATATAACCTCTCAGTTTCCGCAATCCCTTGTCTTCCTTAGGGCACCTTTATAGTCACCAAGTTACTTTTGTAATTTGGTATTTATAATTGTAATGACAGCAATTTCAACGCTTCTTCTTTTCTTCATGCTCTCTTTTCCATTTTGATCATAGACAATAAACTCTATAAACAAAATCAATTTTTTTTAATGCGTTAATATATTTGAGTCTACATAAATGTTTGTTGGATTGAAGTACTATTAAAGGCATGTAAGTACTAAAATCTTTCTTGTGATTCTCGTTGTCACTACTATTTTGTCATATTAGACATACATACTCCTAGAAATTGTTTATAACTTTGTAGATTACCTTTTTTTATTTTATTTTATTTTATTTAAGATTACTGTTTTTATGTTACTTCTTTCACATAGTTTAGCATATTAATTTTAGTCGACATGAGGGTGGTTCACTAACTTCGGTCAAACCCAACTTTTGTATATAGCGGACGCCGTAAAGTTTTTATTACGCTTTCCCATGGTATTCTCCATTCTTAGGTAATTTAATTAATTTTTTCTCATGGCAATTAGTAATTGGGTGTTATTGTCATATTTGTATAGTCCTCATGTGCATATAGACTTCCATACATTTCTTGCAATCTAGGCTTCTGTATTTATCAAGACATGAGAAAAATTATTTTTCTTTTGATTTGGATAAATGCAAATTAACTGAACTTTGTTTATATATTTTATATTTCTTTTTTTTTTCCTTTGTCCTCATGATTCATTTTTCCATATTACTAATAATTAGAAGATATGAACATTGTTTGTTTTTTTCGTTATCTCTAACCAATAGTTATTGTTGGATTTCTTTTTTACTCAAGAACTGAAAGTGTTGATGATAACTAGATATCAGATTTACATGGTCATTCATTGTCTACTAAGAGGCTTTTTTTGTCAATTTTTATTTTTTTGCAAATATAACTGATAAATCTTAATATATGAAACCTACGTCGAAATGCCTAGATCTTAGAAACCCACATTATTGTTATCACTAGATGTCTATATTTCAAACATGTTGAGGACTTGAAAATGACCAGAAATAAAGAATAATGTATTTTCTCCAACTATTCTATTCAATGTTACATTGGTATTTTTTGTTATAGATGTGGTCCTTCATTGATAAATTATCAACATTTACTAAACAAGTAGATTTGTAAAATTGGTTCTTGGTTTTACAAAATATATTATACTCAAAATGATACACGTGCAACAACTAGTGTTTGCATATGTGTATTTTATTTTTTATCGAAAATTTTAACCCTTTTATTTCCAAGATAAAAAATAACCGTATATATAATTTTTTAAAATCTATTTATGTTACATCAATATAATTCCTCAGTCACAAACTTTTTAAGTTGTATTAAGATTTTATATGAAAATAGAAAATATTGTATTTTTAAGTAAAACTTGAATTTTTTAATATTTTAATATGCTTGATAATATATATTATAAAGTAGTATATCAAATTAACTAATTCTTAATTATACTAACGTTCTAATATGATTAATATATTAACAATTAATTTTATTTTATTCAAGGAATTATAAATGGAATTCTAATCAAATGAATTTCAAAAATTTTAATTTCTCAAATATCATTAAAAAATCAATTTTAATCACAAAATTGTAAAAAAAAATAGAACTTTAACTATTTTTTTGTTTTTTTTTATATCTTTTTTTTTATAGTTAGAACAAGGAATTATGAGAATATACATTCATAACCCTATACTAGAATATGAACTATGAAAAATTAAGTTTAGTAAGTTTAAGATGATATTTAATTCAAATATACATAAAATTAATGTTTTATTTATTTTTGTATACGAAAATTATTCACGTATAACACATGCAGTGCATTGCCAATAATAATTTAAAAGGTATCAATAAATTCAAGTTTTAAGGTAAATAGAAAGAGGAGAAAGCAAACAATGATACTAACCTTGCTGCTAAAAGTAGTCACAACATATAGATTTTCTTCCCTGATTTTTGTCAATAAGGAAATTATGGGGTATTTAACTACAAGAAATTAGTATTTTGGTGACCAAAAAATTCGCCATCAAATGTTAACATTTCGTCACCAAAAGTCAACCTTCACAAAAAAATTGGTCCACAGTTGGAGGGCGTACGAGAGTCGGAAAAAATATTTAGTGACGAAATTAAATTTTCGTCATTAATACTTACTTTTTCGTGATGATATCAATCGAGTCTAAAGGTTAACATTCAACGATGATTTGTTTTCTTCATACAAAATTGTTGGTATCTGACAAAAAATTTCGTCACTAAATTGCTATTCACCAACAATTATTTTTTGTCACAAAAATACTTTTAATGATGAAAAAATTTTCTTCGATCATTTGTTATTCACTGACAAATTATTTTTGTTACACAAAATTGCTATTTAGTGACAAAAATTCCGTCGGTCATTAGTCATTTTTGAAGTAACAGACTGCCCATATTAATCGAGAGAAAGAATAAAATAAAAATACAGTTACCCATTTGCTTTTATCTTGAGGCTTTCAAGCATTGTTGTTGTGTTCACAATACTGTCTGGGAGGGAAATGGTAAATCCTGTTCTGATACATTGTTTAGTTGCTTGAAACTGTGGTCTGTACTTTTTCCTACTTGGAGTCCTGTTGATGTTGAAAATGCCAGTGCTTGAATGTAGAGAGAATTTGTATGGGGTAAAATGCAAAAGAGAGCTAAGCCGATGTGCAAAGAACTGTCTCTTTGTTTCTGTCAAAATATAAAAAGATAGAAAGTGCTGTAACTCTGGAGATTTTGACTATAGACATTGTTGTCTTTCTTGGTTTATCAATTTTAACAGAATAGCAGCCATTGAAATTTAGATTCAGTAGCCCGGGTAGCGGTTCGAAAGCCGTCCTCCAACCCAACAACTTTTGTAAGTATCCCAATTTGCTAGTTTCATTAGAATGATCTCTGTTTCTGATTTTAAGTTAAGCTTGCAGGCTTATACTATATACTAATTGAGCCTTACATTTATCATATGCACTTTGGCTAACTAGTAGGAGTAAGAAGAACTCCCTCAACAAGGAAGTTCAGAACAGAATTGAAACAATAGGGACTCAAAAACAGACAGAACTGAAACAACAGGGACTCAAAAACAGGGCCGTAAACACAGACACCAACATTAACACTCAGCTAAACAAAACACCTTCACAAGTGGACAACAAATTAAGAACAGTCGTAAACTTTATCAAATCACAATTGAGTTTTAGTGTAACAATCAAAACAAAACTTTTTGTATAGCCAAAACCTATACATAATGATGAGTTCTAAAATCACTTTGCTATGAAACATTATCATCGGATATATCCCAACAAAATTGGCTGAGGCGGCGGTGGCAAAACTGCAATCATTGGACGAGGCCTCTTGATCCTAGCACTGATCCCATACAAGAATCCTTCAAACATCATCTCTGGTAGCCCATAGACACCCTTCATCTTGGAGAACGTAGCAGCAGTCAATAAACTATCCGAACCAGCCTGATGTGCTTCCCCAAATCGCTCCACATCTAACAGTTTGGCGAGCTTTTCCAATCCTAGTTCACCATCCAACAACCCGTGGCAATATTTCGCCATAAACTTGACATCATACACACGACCAAAGACATGGCCAATGTGTTCAACATACCCCATAATCGAACTTGGCAATTCATCACGAATCACAATCTTCAACATGTAAGCCAAGTCGTAGAGTCCGTGGAATGTCACCCACCGAACCCTATCTCTACCATACCTCACCAAGATCTCACAAAACTTGTCAGCAAACGTGTACGCATCTACCCCATCTCGTTTGTTCTTTACCAGATCAATACCATTCCTTTTCAACAACTCAATGGAAGAGGAAACATGATCATCCAAATCAGGATCAAAGTTGCAGAAGTTAATCTGCCAAACACCCCCTATCACCCCAAACCGATCAAACAACGTTATACCCAGCTGTATAATCTTCATCCTATCCACATTGTATTTCAGATCATCATACCGTTCAGATTCAGAAGCTGCTCGTGGGGTGTTATGCAAGAAACCCGGAAACTCGGTATCGACGCCAACGATCGGAAAAGTCTCCATCAGAACCGCAATTTTACTCATGGCATCCTCGAAGTTATTGCTCCATACAATCTCAATAGAACCCATTGTTTGGCGCTTCTGCACTATTCAAGTGGTTCAGCCGCTATATATATATATATATATATATTTATTTGTATGAGGAACAAGCTACTTAAACCAATACTGAAGAGTTGTATTAGGGTAGAAATAGAATGTTTAAGGCGGTATATATAATAAGGAATATATTTATTTAAGAGTTGCCAAAGGGCGACAGAGAGAGAGAGAGTGAGACAGATGGATTAGAATTGGGAGACTTTGAGACCAAGTAACAATCGAATTCGGATATGGAAACATATACACGGAGTTCTGATTTGGAAACTTACAGATAGAGTTGGGATTTGATGGGCTCTGTTTTTTTTTTGGAGGGAATTACTTCGGAAAGAGTAAATTACACTTATGTCCTCATAAATTATGCTCCTCATTTCATATTTTCGCTTAAACTATTGGTTTGAATGTCATATTGCCCCCAACCAGTCACTTTCATTCAATTTTTCTTCAAATCAGGATAAAAATGGAATCTTGTAATGCTAAGAGATGTGATCTTCCCTTCTTTAGTAATGCGAGCTTTTATTTTTGCTCTCATTGGGACAATGTGAAACTCAAATTTTTAATTCAAGGTGCGAAATGGTAAAATGAGTAACTGGGTGGGCTAAGAGAAATGAGGGATATAGTTCAGAGGTTTAATTGTAATTTGTTCTTAAGAAAATTGGTATTATTTAAGTCACGTAAGTAATTCACCCATAAAAACAACCATATCTAATGCAATACAATCTCTTTTGTCGTGATAATGTCATTAGTGGTACAACTAAGGCGGGTGAACCGGTTCGACATTTTTTTTTATGTCGATTCTCTTAGTAGATCATTTCTTTATTGATTTGATCAATAACAAATAATATTCAGCACGAAATGAACTTTAAATTATAAAATAATATTTAATTTTATCAAATTGACATTTAATTTTGTCAAATTAATATTTAACTTTTTTGAATTAATTTCAAATAAATTTTACTGTTATCAAATTAATATTAAAATTTATTTAATCAATTTTTTAGAGTACTAAATTATATCAAGTTTTTGGGTACTAAATCAAATTTTGTTTGATTTTAATAAAATTTTAATTTTTTTGGATACCAAATTTAGAGAAGGGCAATTGTGAAAATAATAAAGTCTTGTGGGATGAAATCATCACTTTTTGTTAGTACATTGAGGGAAGGAGTCTCCATATAATGAGTTTCAAATTTTAGGGGATTTCCATATTACTTGTAAAATATCAGTGGTATCTGTATAATATTGTCAAAATTCAGGAGTATTTTTTTTTTTTTTACCCTTAAACGAAAGATTAAATCGATAAAGAAAAATTAATAAATTTAAATTTAATTTTATTGGATTCGGGTGATAATCGGTTCAATTTAGCAAGTCTATCACATATATAGATCCGTCGAAAACCAATTAAACATGAATATGTCACAATAAAAACTTGACTAAACACAATTATATATTTTGATACGACTCCAACTACCTACTTTAACAATCACCAGCACGCAGCGAATATACATGCGTATTCAAAATTCACGACCTTTTTACATCTTAGTACCTACTAAAAGTTCTAAACAACAAATCTATATAGAATATATAACAATGTAGTTGGTCGGATGAGGTCCAAAATTCCAACCCAATTTTCCTGAATTTTTATTTTTTAATATTTTAAATTTGATTTGGTTTTACATTATTGAAATTTTTTGAATAACTTAATTCCTAAAAATTTTTAACTGTCCCAAGTTTCTCTCTCATCATGTCTCATTTTTCCCGTCTCTCTATCATACATATACTCTCTCTCCTAAATCTATATTTACCACATACTATAGCAATCAATTTAGGCTTGCTTATGAAACTTTACCTCATCTAGTATTATATTTTTTTAACAATGCATTGATCTTATCAAATTAAATCTTTGCATGTGACTTCTACAATTACTCCCATACAACTATCTTATTTCATCATTCTTAATTTAGCACAGTAAAAAATGAACTAGGGTCCGAGTTGTGGTCGGGGCGGGGGGGGGGGGGGGGCAATAGAAGGTGAGGGTGGTAAATTATGATTGAAGAGATTGAAAATATCGTTCAACGATGCCCCTAATTATTTCAAGGATGCACTTGTATTCTGGTCAATTTGTTTAAAAATCTATAATTATTCAATTTTCTTTTAACGCAGCTTGATGAACGACAATGCCAAGACACCTTTTAACATAATTTTTTCTTTGTCAAAACATTTGATGCTACTAGGAGACGTGGCTGAAATTGCCCTCAATTTTAGTAAAGGACAAACCATTTATTTGTAATAATTTTGTTCTATCCATATAATTTTGGAACTCGTAACTGTAATTTGTATTTAGGATACATGCAATTGCTTGCGAATTATGTATACTGGATCACTCAAAACGTATTTTGTAAGATTTGAATTTAAGACATCACAATAGTAGTCTCTTAAACATTTCCATCAAAGTTACCTGATAAATTATCAGAAATGAATTACAAAAGTAAATATTGATTTCTTTCCCCGCCCAATATGCATAATGCTTGAAATTTTTGATGGAAAGTACATAGTTTGAATTGAATCTGAGACATCTGAGTTAGTAAAGGTCAAATTCAACTATTGAATTACCTCTAAGGATTAAATAACACAACTTGCAACAAAAAGAAATGAATAATTTAAACTATAGTACTTCTCATTAAACATCATTTAAGAAAATCCAAAAAAGATATTCTTTGCATACACCCACACAACATATTTTTCTCCTTAAATAAAAGTCTCTTGTCTTATATGTAAAAAAAGCGTGTAAGACTGAGATTTACTCCGATATTAATTTTCTTCAATTTACTCTACTAAATTGGTTATCTTTAGGGGTGTCCATTGGCGGGCTGGGCTGGGCTAGGTCTGCGAATTTTTTTTTTGGGCCGAGCCTAGGTAATGTAGGCCCAAAGCTCTTACCCAAGTAAATTATGGGGCAGGCTGGGCCGGGTTTCGGGTAGGAGTAGGTTACCCGCAATCCAACCCGTGAGCCTATTAGACAGTCTTTTTTATATATATCTTTATTTAAAAATAATAAATATTTTTGTGACTTAATATTTATGTAAATTATATTTTTGAATCAAAAGAAAGTCAAAATGGATAACAATAAAATAATAAACAACATCCAATAGAATGAATAAATTCTAATTAAGTTGACACCTATTAACTTATCTATCATTTGCATTATTTTACCATTTAAAACTTATATGCTTAATACATGGAAAAGAAAATAATATATTATTTATAATATCTAAATTTTTAAAATTTCAAATTTCAATATTGAGAGACTTATTTTAAAGTTTTAAATTTAATGGTCTAAATATATAACTTTTTTTCAAAAGAAGGGTAGGTGGAGTGGGCTTGCAGACAGACTTGACTGGCGGGTTCTTGGGCTAAGCTTCGAGTCAGATAATGGGTTTGGGGGTAAACTCAAGTCCTCTTTTTAAGGATATTGGGCTCAGACTCGAGCGGGGCAACTATTGGGATTCAGACCTATTTTTTTTAACCGGGTAACGGGACCTGTGGGTAATCCGGCCCATGGACACCCTTAGTTATCCGAAATTGAGATCTTTTCTAATATATTTTTATATAATATTATTCAAACGTAAATCATATACCATTAATTCAAATTAGACCAAGATTTACAAGTGGATCTGTCAGCCATATATAGTGGGGTGATCTAACCTTGAGGTTGAGTTATTGGTGGGGATATAGATGAACCCAATATGAATTTAAGAGTACTCCATTGTATTTAACTAGATTCTCTATTAGTGGGTAATTTTAGCATTAAAAGAAATGTGGAACATTGATAATGGAAAGGATCCTAATTTAAGAGTTAGTATTAGAGATTATTATGATGCATTAGCTTACATCTCGACCATGGCATAAATAAGGTTGTTCTGTCTTGATACTGGTGTCAATTATTTGTGTTGCAAAATTAGTTTTTCTGCACGTAGGATAAGACCATGAACATCTAGCACTATTGGACTGTAATAATAAGAGTCTTGTGCATTAGACTATTTTTTTAGTTGACAATGTCAAACAAGCATATTCTTACATAATATTTTTTGTAGACTTTTATGTTATGATTTTCTTGTTTTGCCCCATGTTCTATCAAAAGACACCACAAATTTAGGCACTAGATCATATAGAGCGGGAGTTGGGGCGGGAGCAAGAGCGGGAACACAAAAAAGGAAAAATTAAAAAATATTTGAGACTGAGAGTTTCTTGAGAGCGTCATATAATATGCATCCAGATAAACAATCATCCATAAAAAGTAAATAAAAATAAATATAAAAAATTAAATTTCATGCACATCTATGTGACAAATTATTTAATTTTTAAATACACCTTGATTATAAAGTTATGAAAATAGCAATTATAGGTTACAAATATCATTATAGTTTGACATATACCTCTATGCATGGGTCGGTACTTTTCAAATAAAAATTTAAGTAATAATGAGTAATCATATAAATAAGTAAGTTGGTGAATTCGCGAATTAAAAATTTAAATTTGTTAATTTCGTAAAATTAGAGCGCAAATTCACAAAAAATTCACTCGTGTTGATTGTTTTGAAGGATTATGTGACTAAGTTTAGGCACGAGAGGTATAGAATGAGAACAAAACAAATATATTTGGGCAGAAATGCAAATAGTTTTCACAACCACAACAAACGAAAGGTGGAAAGGAAAAACAGCAAGGCCACGGAACGATCATGCAAAGACAGAGCAATATAAATACCACAATTTCATGACCTCTTAAATGAGGGACGCGTTTTACCCTTTTTCATCATCATCTCTCAACTCCGGTTTCCCCATTTCATTTCCTTTCTCTCTCCTCCAAGAAAAAAGTTTAGAGAGAGAGAGAGAGATGGGAAAGTATATGGAAATGTTGGATGCAGGGGTGAGATTCGTAACAAGATTTCATTCTCATTGTCCTCAGACGGCACACATGTA